CTTCGTTGTTTTCTCGATATATCTATAATTTTATTAGCGTTAGTCCTCTGACGTCGCACCTCCTTCGAGATTCCGCGAAGTCTAAAGGAGATCTCAATTAGCCATGTGGTTTTCTGGAGATTTTTTTATTGAAGTTGCGTAAACGCGAGATAACGGAAAAGACATGGGGACGCTGAGATTTCCGTCGGTATCGTGTTTATTTTTTTTCGTTTTTTTTTTTTTAAGTGGAAATCAACACGATTCGGCCGAGCCGAAATCGTTAGGATTGTTTCTATTTTTTTTTTTTTTTATTTTTGTTCCCGTTTTGCTTTTGGGTCGTAAACAACGGAGTCTGTTGTAAGATTACGCATAAGTTGGCAGTTCACTTTTGTCCAATGTTATATTTTGGGCGGATTGTCCTGCACGACGGTGTAATCAGTGGTAGCACAGCGCTTGGATAGTCAGCGGACAAGAGCATATATGTAGTATAGGAAAAATGAAAATTTAATATGAACATACAAATCGACATTTGTGCAACAGCTGGTTCTCCAGTGAATTTTGCGAGCGAGAAATATACCTTTTTTTTTTTAAATTTTCCTTTATCGAGTCAAAACACCCGTACTGTTCTATCGTAGTTGATACAATATAGTATATTAGTAATAACGGATTATTATTATCACACTTCGTAAATCATACATATTCATAATTGCATTATTACGAGAAACAATGGGAGAAATATTAAAAATAAAAGAAAGCAGTTCTCAATTGATCAAACCCCTGCCAATTGTATGCAGGCAGAAATTCGAGATGCAAGAAATTCCTCGTTTTCTTGTAATTTTTTTTTCTTTTTATTTATCTTTTCCTTTCTTCTCGAAAGATCTCTCCAACTTTCCGCAATCTCGATAATATAATTGTTACGTAGATCCAATTGTTGAAGCGTTTGAAAGCTTGTGTTACACGTATGTTTCAATTCTGTCGATTTAGAATTCGTTATAGCCCATCGTTGTTCTCGTCGTTTAAGTGAACGAAAGCGAGGGATCTTTCAGAATTTTGTAGTGGCGAAGACAGAACATAATAATAATAAAAGGATATAAACATTAGATACAATACAATCATTTACTGTGGTTCCGATGTAACGGCAGATGCATATTACGACATACGCTCTATTGTAATATTATAAGGATCCCACCTAAGATTTAAAAAGAAATGTAATAGTCTACGTTTTTCATACACACTCAGTTACTATATTTACCTAGCATACGAAGCTACGATAATACATAATATGTATCTTACTTGCTCCGCTTGGAATACATTTGAGGCGCGCGATTGAAAAAAGAAAAAAGAAACGATCGGCCATTATGAAGATTGTGGCCGAGATCGGTATCGTCAACTTGAAATGTACATTCAATTCGAACAGGATTGTATTACAAATAAATACGATATTTGTGACGTTCGATTTTTGTTACTGACGGTTAACGCGGTGCGCGCGTCGATTTATGTTTGATATTGGTACGTAGTAATGATGTTTAAAACATTAAGGTGATTGCGCAAATTATTTTTATTCCCAATAATGAACACAGCTTCATTTACGCCTCATAATCATATCTGTACAAAGAAGGATCGTACGTTTCATTATTTTCATTTCGCATACGATCCGTTTCATTTTCGAGGAGTAAAAATACGAACCTCCGTCATTTTGTTGTCTTCCTTTATTTTCATGTCGTCTCTCTCCTCCGGCTATGTTCATGCTTTTTGTTTCAGCTACGAGACAACGAGTATCACGCGATTATTGAATGACAACGCTGTACTTATTTGTGCTTGAATTGACATTTGGCCTTGAGTACGATTAAACACTTGAACGGAAATCACGTCTCTCAGACGTTTCAGCTATCTGGAGTCCACAATTGTTTTTCAGGTTTCCAAGATGTAAGCTACTGGCTGGCTTTCAGTCTATAATAAAAATTGTGTTTGTCGTTGGACGCCTGTTGGGTCAGCGCATGCGCCGATCGGATGTGAGGTTAAGTAATTATTTTAAATTAGCCGAGAGAATAAAGATTCCCACCGAACCTACGATTGTATTCGTAAGTATCGCGAGATTCATCAGTGACATAGTTTCGTGTTTTGTTAACGAGAACGTCGGTTTATCAAATATGTAGGAACCTGCCATTTCGACGTATAAATTCGGGCAGCCTCGAATTTGCCTCGATTAAAATTTATAAATCGTCGGATTCTGCAAAGTTAGAAACGCCGTCCTATTTAAATTATTCATCGAATCACTTTAATAGAATCATCCAAAATCGGCATCTGCATCTTCACTGCATATTAGTATTTATTTACAAGTGACGTGGGGCAACGTACTCCCGTGTGCATTTGTCAGTTTAGTCTCGTGCTTGTTCTCTCTCTCTCTCTCTCTCTTGCTCACTCCATTTCTATCTTCCTGTCCGTCTCTCTCAATCACTTCGAACCGTCTGGACACTCTGAACCCTTCTAGCAAGCAGGACGAGTTTCGTTGCCGTTTTCACGTGTCGTTCACTCCTTTTACCTGCTCCCACCTTCACAAGCGTCTGAGGGTTCTCTTTGTGTTTCTTTTTTTTAAAAATCATCTCTTCCCGCTGCCCATAGTAGAATCCCGTGTCCATGTATTTCTCTTCCTCTTGGCAACGCCATCTTGCCGACAGGTTAGGAATTATGGGAAGAGTTTGAAATGTTCGATCTCGAGCACGAGAGAGACAGGTAGCCGCAGAGGCAGGCAGGTAGGTAGACAGGTAGACAGCCAGGCAGGCACAGAAGTGAGTGTCCACTTGGTGTTCGTACGAGTGCAACGAGTTTTGGGACTGCTGATTTTTTTCTTCGAGCGTCGCGTATACTTGCTGATCTAGTGTCGTGTTACTTTTGACTGAATCGTCCTGCGTCTCGTCTGTCGTCGACATCCATGTTACTCTTACTTACGAATGGGAAGGTCCTTGGTCCCAGGGACTTTTTATGGTACCTACTGACCCGTTCGGGGGACATGTGAATACGTTTGGGCCCGGCCAGTGCACAGAATGGCTTTTCTGTGTCCAGTGCGCATACGTCGTGGGAAGAAGAAGAAACGTACGTTACTCTGACTCTCGTTAATATTATTTTATTCGATTTAACGTTGATCCTCACTTTATTATCTTAGAGATTCACGATGCTCGTGGGTCTTTTATTCCTAATTTGTGCTTTTTTTAAACATCTTTGACGGATCGATCGACCCTTCCTTCTTCACTCTTAATTATTAATTCCTTTTGTCATCTCTTAGCCGGTGTCCATAGCTTTAACCTCGAAAAGGATGGAGCTGGAGTCGGCGGCGTGGGACTTGGACTGGGGACCAGGGTACCTCTTCCTCCAGGACGTATCACAGGAAGTGCCAGTATCGAGACTCTAGTTAGGGTTGGGATCGAGAAGGAAAATGGTCTTTCACCAGACAGCAAGATGGTTATCGTTCATGACTTTACGCCGTGCGTCGATGACGAGCTTCTGGTGAAGAGGGGTCAGGTTAGAAAGAATCAATTTATCTGGATGATTCATTAGGAAATTTATTCTATATATATAAAAATTGTATTGCGTATGACTTCTTAGCACAGTCTTACCCTATATCATTTTTCATTAAATGGATGGGAGTATCACAGTATACTCTTTCATCTGTCCTAGGTCGTAAATGTCTTGTACAGAGAAAATGACTGGGTTTACGTGATAGCAGCCGATACTAGAATGGAGGGATTTGTGCCGCATTCTTACTGTGCGCCATACACGTCGCAGCTGGCGGAATCGACCCTCGCGACGCTTATGAATAATGTCAAAAAGAAGCTGCCACGTTCGAACGACAATGACGCCGATCTGTCCAGTTCGTCACGTTCCCAAAATTTGGATGCCCAACAAACGGATACCGGTTCCGCATCCGATTGCGAAAGTTATTCAAGGAACATTACCACTGCCGACGTTAATGTCAATCGTTCTAACGTCGCGCAGTCACAAACTTCTGTGCAGAGTACGCCATTGCAGCCGGATGTTCATCCATTCTTCAAGGTTGGTGGATGATCGATTTATTTGGTGTATCGGGGTAGCATATTTTTTTGGCTCTCAGGATCCTTTGACACGGATTGAATTTTTTTCACAGGATCCATCTGCAGGAAGGTACATTGTACTGTACACGTTTGTGGCAAGGGACGAAAACGACGTGAGCGTGGAGAGAGGAGAATTTGTGACTGTACTCAATAGGGACGATCCTGATTGGTTTTGGGTGCTACGTCACTGTGATGGTAACGAAGGATTTGTACCTTCTGGTTTCGTTTATCCGGGACATGTTTTGCATTCGTATACGACGACGGCGACGACTACTACGACGACCACGACGACCGCCACTGATCCTCATGGACTAGGTAATACTTGAACTTTTGTTTGTCGATTAGTCTCGTTTGTTCAATTAAGTTTTTAATTTTTCATTTCTTTTTCTTTCTTTGTAGGCACTACGAATGGAAATTTAACGGGAGGCGAGCAACTGCAACAAAAGGACTTGCGTGACTTTCGCGACGAGACTAGTGGCACTGAATTAGTTGTGCTTTACGATTACAAGGCGCAGGCGCCAGATGATTTATCCGTGAGACGGGCAGATTGGATTTACGCAGATTTAGGCAATCAAACGGTCGACGGCTGGCTCTGGGCTTACGCACCGAAGACACGAAAATATGGCTTTATTCCTAAGGCTTATGCCCGACCGCCAGCCATGACCAGCTTATGAGAAGACATTAATGATATTATGATATTTTGACTTTTTAAATCTTTTATACCTATTTTATATAAATACATTATGTTTATACGTGACGCTCGCACTTCATTTGTTCGCTTCAAGGATGCGTGTTTCGCGGTAACACTGAAAAACTGACGTTGGTCCCCGATCAATGATGTATCCTGTCCGCAAGCGATGTCGATTATGCGAATATCAATGAATTATGACGTTCACGTTGAGACTGGTACAGTCGGAAGTGATATGATTGATAAGACCCTCATGAAGAATCACGCAATCGCCGCTCAAGAATACTTCTCGTGGTTTTTGAGCAGTTCTTAAGGAATTCACTGGTCCCGTGTAGGTCAACGAACGGAAACCTTCGTTATCGATATTGTCTACTGCCTGTAATTCATCAAAAATTTATACAATTAGCTTTCCTATCTCTTATCCAAACTTTAACGCAAATTTTTAAACACACCTGTATACTACACTTAAGGGGTCGTGTGCTACTGCCAATATCCAACCCAGCCACCCAGGCAATTATCACGTCCCCCTCGTCATGACCTTCGCCACATGCGTGACCTTCATTGTGACTACAGTACCTGCTAGTACTATGCAAACGGGCAGCAAGGACAGGTAGCGGTAGTCTGTTTTTGTATTTCTGTTGAATTTGTCCACTGCTAAATAGTCGCGTAGCAGGGCCTCTGTTGTTTTTTTTTTATCGGAAAGCCCATACAAGTTTAAAAAAGATAATGAAAATGAATAAATCCTACAGTATACCTTCATTATACGGGCTACTTACGACAGTTTACCAGATACCAGCAAGAGGGCCAGACATCTACTGGAATCGCAGGAAAGCGCAGTGAAACTAACAATCAAAGTGCTCTTAGCTCCAGGCTCCACATTGAGAATCGGCACTTCCGGATGATCGAACAGGAAATGATGAGTCAAAGATGAAAATGCTACATTTACCGCGCAGTCCAATCGTGGACAGCGAATCGGACGCCGAGAACATTCCGAAGTTCCTTGATTGCCAATTTTCATTTGAGATGGCGACACCTGTTCCTCGTCTTTAATTATACTGCAGTAGCTACTCTGCTGTCTGGCCTCGTTCACAGTTCGCCTGTCATGTGTATCCGTCAAATCGGTTTCCCAATCGGTCGTAGAATCGTTGCCGTGCATCGCACTGCCGTAACGTGGCTGCCGTTTTTTCGGCACCGGTTTTGAAATCGATGGATACCCTCTGACCCATGGATTTACGTGATAATCGTGCACGTTACTCCCCGACATAACATTCTGTACTTCGTATGGTTTATTCGTTTTCTTAAGACTCGTATTACTGTCTCTGGAGCAACTGGAATTCGAGCGTTGTGATTCCACATCGCACAGAATGCAGCCAACGTCTAGAATCGCATAAAGTCATACGGGACTGGTGGTATTTAGGTTAGAAAATTTAAATCTTTATAGTCGCCTTGTCATTCGTTACCTGATCGTATCGCAAATTTTTTTATGCATCTGTAACAGAGTAAATGTCCCTGCGAACAGGCCAGAGGCTCGTATCGATTAGAAAAATCGTCAGGGTTCGCGTTAATTGCCTCAACGTGACAGACAGTGCACAGACTGCTCCTTGGGTATCTTAAAATTTCACGTTCTTTGTATTTTTTCTCTCTCTCCTCCTCCTCGGCTTCCTCGTCCTCGTCTGCATTTCCCATAGCCAGTGTTTTCCTGTCCTGCGCAAGTCACTGCTTAGATTATATCGTTGGCGCGAGGAATAGAGAAAAAAAGGGTAAGTAATAAGAATTTGGTACTTTGTGACTGTTGACAAAATTTTCATCTGTTCTAGAGAAACGGTTGATTCCCTCCATTTCTTCTTAAGGAACTTGCATGCGATTCACGAGATACGCGTAATTTAAAAATAGGACTTTATCGGATATTATACCAATCGATTACTTATTTTCAATTGATTTTTACGACAGGACCTCAAACTGTTTGATGATTCCGTACGAAACATTTTATGTGGAATTTTTAATTACCCGCATATTATTGTCACGCGTTTATCGGTTATTCACTTATGATTACGAAATTGACGAATGACGCGCCCGTTATTCCCACCTTGTTTTACGATTCGCGACAATTTATTCCCACGAAATTTACCAGATACAAAACGTCCGACTTTTACGATCTTTTGGAGAATCACTAACGCGGCATCTTGACATTTGGAGAAAAAAAAACACAATTTACGAAAGTCACGGCAAAATTACATGCGTCGAGTGAGCATAGACGTTATGAGTCCGTTATGAAATAAGATAAAGATATCAAATTAATCCTTTATTTTTCTTTCTTTTTTTAATTGGAACAAATAAATACATGCTTTAAAATTATTATGATTTGCACTCCCGTAAATATAGTAGCTTCTCCCGCAGACGATTCATTGCAGCCTGCTTCTTCCAAATACGTGAGCAGTAAAATACAACTTGTTTATTTATCGTCTTATACCATAAGCCATACTTCTCGCCACCAATTCGTCCAGGGGTAGAATTTCGGTTTTCGCCCTGCAAGATCGAACGGTTTGCGTAAAGTGGTTTCTCGTGTAATTTCTCGAAATAATTTATTTCCTAGGCTGTTGACGTTTTAATTCCTCCGTCGGTAACAGCGTCGCCGTATTACTTGAACATGTTGGTAACTTAAATGATTATTTACCGGTAATGTAGAACGTTACCTGTAACCACGTGTATCCGCCGTATAGGAAACACGTACTATTTGATTATTTTTGTAATCCGTGTAACCATATTCACCGATTACCGTTCCATTTTCGAGTTTTTCTTCGTTCCTGTACTGTTCGTTTCCCGACGGATCGACGACGTTGTCGTAACCGAATGCGTAGGAACCACGGCCCTGTTTGAACAATATTAGAATCGTCAAGTGTGCTTGGATATTATATTGTAAAAAACACTTTTAAGAGAGTGACAAGACAATGAAGGATCCTTGAAAAATTTGAAAATTAATTAAAAATATCCGTGACCGTCGAGTTTATAAATCTACGATGGCGTTGAGTGAGCGTGTCGAGGAAAGAAGTGTTAATTAATTAACGGTACGACTTGGTCTATACATTAAAATTTTATAGGCTCTATCTTCCAAATGGCTTGAAAGCCATAAGATTTTGTGAAGAAACTTCGAAAATGGTGAGTATCATACAAAAAGCCGGTTCGTTCGAAGGGACTTGATAAGGATTCAAATTTAGTTGGATAAATGTTATAAATTTTATTTCCGTTAATTCCTCATATTGCTTTTTTTTTTCTTCTATCATTGCACATCCTGGCAAATCTATCAACGTCTTTCTTTTTTAACGTAGAAATCGCGTCCGAAGAGTTACGGAGATTTTTGCAAGTGCCTCGGTAATTTTACGTACACAAAAAACAATGATTCTCACGATCTAGCAACTTGGCAGTATATAAAAAAGTCTAAATAATTATACGTTACGTTTGGCTCACGCAAGTTGTAAGCCGACCAATCGGCCAGGGAGAGACGTGGCTTCCTCTCTCGAGATTCCTCAACTTCCCGGAACATTGTCGCTTCCTCGACGTTCTTGTAATTAACGTGATTGCTCCCAAGAATCGATCTTGGTTCAGGCGAATCGTTATAGAATGGCCGAACCACGCGGCCTCTTGTCAAACTCACTAGGAAACCCAGACAACACTGGAACGATACCTCTTATATATACCAAAATAAAAAGTAAACTCAAAATTGGACAAAAAATCCATAAGAAGTAACCCTTCGAAATGAAAACCACCCGAGACGCGTCACTGTGAATAAATTTTTAAATTATAAAAAAATTTGACAAAACCCACGAAATTTGAGAAAACCCAAAAATACGATCAATCACTTTGGTCGATCAGAATTTCCCGATTACAGGGTCGATTGTCGACCGGAGTAACGTACCACTTTAATCGTCAGGATCATCGCGGCATTCGATCGGGACGTCATGAACGGTCGATGATCAATAAGTTATAAGGAAAAATAAGTGTGCAGGATGAATCCAAAAAAATGGACTATTCTGTAAATGCGCGTAGGAATCGTAAGGAGTAACTACTAAGTCAAGACGTCCGATACACGGTCACTGCCAAAAGGGTTTCAGGTTGCCGATTTAACTCTACTGCGAGGGAAGCCGATATCCTGGTTGTACAGAAGTAAGTAAGAAGTGCGGTGTGTATTATATCCGAAGGCTCGGAGGCTCCGAGTCCCCCCTCTCCCAATGAAATTCGCCAATTTGAACAGCCGAACCAAATAAATTCCTACGTATAGTCGTTCCTTCCATGCCGACCCATAACTGTGTCGGCTTTTACGAGATACCATGCGGGTCCATTCGTTTTCCATTGATGCTCTGGGACTCTGGCCTGGCTAAAAGACTAAAGAAGACAGGTCAGTGGCTCATTAGCGTCATTAATTGCCTAAGTGACAGTTTTACCAGTAGGCGGTTAACAGTCGACACGGTTATTGGTACGGGGACCCTTTTCTTATTTGACGAAGACAAAAAAATATTGCGAACTGGAGAATATTGAAATAAGGTTGGAAAAAGGTGAACGAACCTACGTTCATTGAGTTTCCTACGGCTAAGGATAGAGTCGAGTAAATTTGTATTGTTGGTATTGACCGTTGACAAACCTTGCCGATCCTTAATATTTGTATGACGGCTTTTTTCGTGTAGTTTCATATGGGTTCCGTTAAATTCATATCGGATATCTTTTTCAAGATTCGCCGGATATACGTCAGAAGTAAAAAGGTCTTGACGCCCTGTTGAATTTCATGCCGATTGGCTTTTTTTTTGGCTGGCTGTGACTCGGCGATTGAGTTATGGGCTATAGAAAAGATATTTGCCATAGCTCCGAATGTGTTTCGATGGGTTAGGCGTGGGTCGAAATTAAAGGATTGTATAGCCGGTACCCGCATAATCCATCTGGTTAACTGTATAATAAGGTGCTCTCGCGGGTCGCGGCTCTCCTTCGAATAGCCACAATTTTAAATTGCTCGCAAATCAGTTCGTCCGGCGTCAATGAGAAATACATGGTAATGACCAGTCCGTCGCTCAAGATAGAAACAAGCGATGCGAATCGAATTGTCTTAAAATGAAGTTTTTGAATTTTCTCAAAGTCCCACGTACGTAAGTAAGGATTTACGTAGCAGCCATAGGCAGAAGTTCAGTAAACTCGCTGAAGATCGTAATATGGAATACGATATAACGGCACGTGTTATTCGCTGCTGCCTGGTATTAGATTAGTTTGTGGTTTTCGCATAGAAAGGGAGACGAGCCTTTGTAAGTGGGTAGGGAAGATAAGGTAAAAAAAAAAGAAAAGAAAAATTCCAGCTCAGTAATGGAAATGAGATTTCTTATCTGTATACGGATGCTGTATTATTGTACAATAAATAGATGAGCTTCGCCGTATTTGAATTCTTGAGAATTAATTTCTTTTTCAGTTTTTTTTTTTTTTTTTTTTCAGGAAATCGATCCACAGATGGTAAATAATATTATTTGCACGTTCTTTATCGTTACGCAAGAGATTTATTTTATCGTGATTTTTTATTTCCCTTTTGTTTTTAATATTTTGTCCTCCGACGAACGCGATAACAAGTGACGCGTGTATTCGCTCGGTTAGTTTCGTGAGTGCGAAAGTAAGTCGATTATAAAAAGCACAGTAAAATATAAAAATATTTGGGAACCTGTAGTCGCGGATAAAGTCAATAATTTGTACATGCGTGGGATACTAACTAAATTAAATTGATTAAAGAATTGTCAGAGCTTACGATCGTCGAATCGTGCGGGATATAATTGTTGTATATTCGTTTCAGCGATATACGTAATCAGAGACACGAGGAAAGAAAAGAAAGAATTTAATCGAAAGAATTTTACGCGACGATTCGATCAATCGATTATTTTGATTCGGATTCATTTGAAAGACCTAGCTATGCGTTTTTTTCTACGTCGCTGAAAGGCTTCGCAAATACATTAATTAGTCTATCTACAAATTACTAAAATCTAATATCAATGTTAGCCAATAACAGCTTTTACAAAATTATATATATATATGTATGTGTGTATGTATATATATCGTCTGAACGAAGGATAATGACAAATTTGAAATAAAACGTAATTTCTCTAGCCTAGACGATTTTTTTTATAAATTTTAAAAATAATCGATATTTCGATTCTCTTGAAAAATTCATTATTCTTTACTTTGGCAAGAAACATTAGTTATTCGGTCATTCAAAGCACCGAGGTTACTGTTACCAGTGACGTCACTGATCCCCCCAAAAATCGCTAATTACAACCTCCTATACACGTGCCATGAGTTCGCAGTTGGAAATTGCATTGTAGGAAATGCCTAAAAATGAACTGTCATGCCAAAAAGTAGTTATGTGAGTTTGAAAAATTGCGCAAAGCTTGATTTGAAATATATTAATAATTCCTGGATAAACTGGAAAGTGAATAAGGCCAGCGAATTTCGAGGATGCATCGTTAATATCGATTATCGTTCAGAATAGTTTTTTTTTAATATAGAAAATTGTCTTTTAGTTGAGCTGTCATTAATTAATATCACTCGTTCGTATCTTCAATTCTGACACGCTGCGCATGCGCGAGGTTCGATTAATCTTCCTCTCGCATGCCGTCATTTTCTCATAATATTAATTGTTCATTATATAAAATCTTCCGTATTGGGGCTATAATCGTTAGAGCCCACTTGGCGAGTGTTAAATAATTTACTGCTTTAAAATTCGTTCGGTATGCGTATACGAGTATCAAACGTGTCTAGTAGGATTATGCAAGATCATTATACCAGGTCGGGACGAGCGAGTGGATTAAAATTGAAAAAAAAAAAACACAAGATTCAATAATGAACGTGAGACGCATGTAATAATGTGCGTAACTGTTATGCTTTAGGACCAAGACTCGTAACCTCAGTTTCCCTGGGTCCCTTTTAAATTCTAGCAGATTATTCGCATCTTCCTTGCTCTGTATTACGATTTCCGATTACTCATGAGATTCTCGCTCGTCCTGGACGACCTTAGGTTACTTAAGGTAAGATCATTCGTAGGATTTCTTTAGACAGAAGCTATTTATCACAATTGTAACCCGTTGCTATTTATACGGAGGCTATTTTATTCCTTGGAACAATCCTGACGTCAGTCAGAATTATCACGGTTGACAAGATTCTGTCTGGCGGTCGCCAGCTTGTCCACGCTGACGGTCTGAATGTTACCCAGTGACGTGCTGTCCAGGAGTGTCTTGAGATTTTGTTTCTCAGCGAGGTTAACCATACTGCAACTTCTGTCCTTGGGCATGTTGTTCGCCGCTGATGGTTCAAATATGGCCAGTAGTGGCAATTCCTTGACACTGGACGTCCTGGACTTCGACTTCCGTAATCCAGGACACTCGAAGAAACCCTCGCTGACATTGTTATTAGCGAATTTGGCCGGTCGCGAGGATGTCGGGTTGCACGTCTTATTAGGACTCGAGTCGACGCTTCGCCAGCCCAGATTTTCCTGTTCTCGATATTTTTGTACTTGTACTTTTGTACTCGTATCTTCTTGATCCGCTACTCTTAGAGACGATGGCGTTGGTTTTGCCGGATGCATTGAACTTTTAATATCTGCTTCCTCATCAGCACGCAACACTGGATCACTTTGATCATCAATGATGGTTGTACAATTTTCGATGAATTCTTCAATATCAGTGCTTGATTTGTCCACTGAGATAATTTTCCTCGTCCTCGGCGGTTCATTAATATCGATTTTGTTCACATTTTCCACGTTCTTGCTCTCACTGGTTCGAGTTTCCACGTTCTCGAAAGTATTTTGAGATTTCTCTTGAGCAGCCAAATTTTTCGCTGTCGTTTCCTCGGCTACTACATCCTTTTGCACTGACCGTGTCGGCATCCCCTCAACTTTTCTTCGAGCGAAATTAAAGTTTCCCATATTTATAGGACTGTTGCTTAGCGATTTCGACAGACTATTTTTTAGGGCCAGTTTCGACTTATTCAGGATCGAGTTAATAGGACTCTGCGTCAACGATTGCCATCCAAGATGTTGAGGTTGCGAGGAGGAATCAGTCCTTGCTAAAGGCTTCTTAAAGATGTCAAAATCACTAGGTAGTTTGGCGTCCTCGCTTTCCTCGTTCTTTTCAGACTTTTCCTCAGGGTCAACGTGTTTCTCAACACTATCACTTTCCTGCTTCTGCACGATACTCGGATCACCATTCTCTCGACAATCAGCGTCGATATTCTCAAAATTGGACTTTCTTATCGGAAGATTATTTAATTTCTCCATACTAGCTTGCAACTCCAATTCCCACTGGCTGGCAGTAGATTCGCTGCCGTCGACCGAACGGCTGCTCAACTGATCCATTTTCTGTCTCAATACAAAAACATCCTGAAACGTTAGAAAGATTGGAATTATTCCAACAGGTTCAGTGACGTCGAAATACCATCAAATAACTAAAATCAATCTGATATATAACATTAACCTCAAAATCTCGAGCCCTGTCGTCGATATCAGTCTCGTTGCTGCTACTTGCTAGAGAATTAATTCTACTGATATTGAGTTTATTCAGTTCTGCTTGATAGTTTAGACTCTCCGGGGGACTAATGAGTTCAGCACCAACACCCGGCTCCCTCGGGCCATTAGCGACCATGTCTGAAATAAACAAGCGATATATAGGAACAATATCTCACAGCATTTCCTCATCTCGTAATAACACAATCTCGTCACTTGTAATATAAGCCCACCGAAATCTCGTCGCTGCTGATGTATCTGGTTACTAATTTCCTCCAAAGCCCTTAAACTTGCTGAGTAATTATGCTTAGCTTCCTTGACCCCCTTCTGCAGGAACTCGACGCGTTCCTTCTGCGTGGCCAACATCTGATCGCATTGAGCCAGCACCTCAAAATATGGTCTAGCCTTTATAATCGACCTACGATATTTTTCCTCCAGCTGCTGGACCTTCGTCTCGGCATCGTGAACCAGCATTGCTCTACGATGATGCTCCCGGCCGCATTCGGCTTTCTGATTCTCCGCATCCATAACCTGTCAGAAGCAAATACAATTATTGATTTGATGTACTCCACGGAGTATGTAAAGAACTCGTGTACCGCGTATCATAAATTCTCTAGCTGTTTGCATAACTTAGTTCAACAATCCTTCAACTAAATATGGCGCATCTAGGGATACCTGTGCTATAGTGCGCTTAGTTAAATATGCAAGGTGGCAATTTCTTAGTGGATAATTTCAACGGGCTAATCACGATTTATAAGGCAGTTTATCAACATTTATATTCTGATAGATGCGTGGATTCGGACAGAGTGAATTTCATATTGAATAAATATTATTGTACACGCAATAGAAAAAGTCCAGTGAAAGCGATTTACAGTCTTTGAATTTCACGCTGTTTATTACAATAAACAAATAAGTACTTGTGCCACTTCTTAAATCTTGATATCAAGTGAACAGATTCTCCACGGCAGACAATAGACTCCACTCGCTGGAGTACGGTGGAGAATTTCAACTAATTCTCACGCTCTATGACGAAACGTAGAGAAGGGAAATGCAGACGATCATTGTTGGAGTTTAGAATTGAAGACAGTCTCAAGCATGTGAGCGTAACGTGACTTAATAGCACTCTAGAGCTCAGCTACAATTGCCACTAAAGACAATAGTATCTTAGAGCTTGAGTAAATATATTCATCATCGCGGAACATTGAAACGCTATGCCGTCAATAAATGAGAAGTTGCCAATACCGTTAGAAATACGGGGTTTCTTTTTTTCTTCTTTTCCTTAAAGACGTGAATATTCATAGCGACAGAAAGACGCATGCCAGTGCGGCTCAGAGGATGACTGGTAAAAAATGACTTTGGCGAAATCACAAATCTACTTAATTAGCCGATATTCGAAATCCGATGAAGGCTTTTTAAGTGCATCCGGTTTCTCCCCATTGTCAGATTCGCTATTACAAACGGTTGGTCGAATAAGTAAATTGTAGAGTCGGATTGAACTTATGCGATTGAATCGCGTGTGTATGTAATGTCAAATGCCAGGATGCATGAACGTCAACGCGATTCGATCCCGTTAATGATGTTGACAATGCGTTAGGTCAGGTTAGGTTGATTAGCATCTATTGACAATTCTGCGAACTGGTCGATCTATTGGCTAGCTCGGAATTAACGCATGACTATGATCCATGCATATTAAATAGCTGCTAATGAAAGGCAGCGAATTAGGGTAGTGTCGTAGCGAGTAGTCCCAGTTAGTCGGCAGTAACTCTGGATATGTTAATCATTCGATTAGTCATTGAATTGAGATTACCGGACTTCGAATTTGCTTGAGCAAGTTATTTACTTACTTTAATGGTGGCATGATTGAGCATGTCTTGCCATGCTTGATCAAAATTCCATTCGTGCTGATGCGACATAAATCTGGCTTCGGCCAGGGTGACAGTTTCTTTTGCCGCAGCGTGAATCTCGCTGGCTCTTTGAAAGAGCTGAGCCTGGTGCTGACATTGCACCTGAAGATTTGTAAAATAAAATTTAAAAAGAATCCTTGTCTAGCGCGATGATCGAAGCCATCGTTAGCATTAGCTTAGTTGAGTTTTATTTGCCAATAAATATTACTGACGCGAACTTGTCGGGCTTCTTCTACAGCTTCGTAATAACATCGTGACTTCTCTATACAACTGGCTCCCAACTTGTTTGCTATTTCCTTCAGACGTCTTGTCGAGTCGGATAGTAATTGCCGAAAAGCTGTGTGAGCTTCCTGAAAGACAAATATTATAGATGCTTTGTACTGTATCCTAGATTGGTGCTCGAGTTATTCCTCTTGCTCATGTTGCTTTGTAAGAGTTGTCGAATTTCCAGGGTGGCTTATCTTAATAATACGTGCATCGTTTGTAAACATAAGATTGTGAGAAGCATTCAAGCATGTAATGTTGCTTGCTAAGAGAATAGCATGAAATGGAGAGGAGAATAGAAAGGATAGAGTAACTGCAGTAACTACTGTTTTTATTGTTTCGACTGACGTAGCTTACTGCTTATTAAGATATGCGAAATGTTTGTGCTTTTTAAAAGATGAAGATACTTCTCAAGATGTTCTAAGAGGGCCACCGTGTATAGAAGTGGTTGTGCGAGTCACGCGTCAAGACATTTCCAGACGTAATACGTGCAAATTACAAAAGATAACAGACATCCTTCTGATAATTGTGCTGCGTTTATGCGGATGCCTTGGGGGTACAATGACGGGAAGAGTATAGAAGAGTAGATACTAATGCACGATGCATGTGCATTGCCTGATTTACTTTTATGGTGATACTTAACGATGATATGAATTGTTTTTATATTGGTAAATAACGTACATCCAATTCGATTTCAAGTTTGTTTATCTCATCCGTAGCATTGTTCAAATTCTCCAACTCGATCTGAAATAGGAGAGAAAGGCACATTTTACAAAAGCATTCTCAAGATCGTGAAGTCAAAAATAAAGTTTTAGTTACTTATACATTACTGAATGAATATTGAAAGATAAAAGATTTCAGTCTATGACTCACATGAGAATAATTGCTATTACTTGTATTATTATTTTAGCTGCTATGGCAAACATTACATAGCCAAAATGCCTCTGAGTATTTAGTCTTTAGAGAGTTATCGATTAGTGAATGTTCAATTGTAAGTTAATAGAATCATACATTTAGACAATTGGCTTTGTAGATACGACAAGTATGAGTAATATCTGCAAAAAACTTAAGGCATTGCTATCAATAGACTAAGTCATGCTGTAAGAATTTCTTAACACACAAAGAACAGGATTGTCTTTCTAGGGTTTCGAATTAAAAGTGAAGAGAGTGAAACGAGAAAAAGCAGATAAACAAGATAAAGTATTAAATGAAACAACAAATCAAACACTACTTTGAATAAAATTCTGTAAGCATAAGAGGAATTGCAATGAATCCTTATCACAAAAAAACCGTTTTGACACCTTTCAATCAGTTATAAGAAAATATACTAGCCAATAAAAAATATTTTTTAAAATAACATGCGTAAACAAAGTGGGACAAGGTGCCAGGCCGTGTCAGGTGCCTCGAGTGTCCGTCCATTAAACTCCGATAGCACTTAACCTGTTAGTGTTAAGATGCCACCACCCATGTAGAGTAAATAATAAAAAAAAACATAAACCTCAATCAGGAAAGAACAATAGTATAAATCTAGCTCATGGTAATTTACCTGTATACGAGGGTCCAGGGGACCTTCGGCGTCATCCAAGACGTCCATTCTTTATTTTTCAGCGACATTTAACACTGTCAGCTCATATCAAATTCTTTTACACTTCCAGTCCAATCAATAGAAACTCACAAAACGTAAACCCGTGCTGATCGCTTTACGTAACGATCGTTTTACTCTACAAGGTCAACGCAATATCCGCATTTCGTTTACATATCGTGAAACGCACAATGTGCTATACGAGAGGAAGATGAGTCGAGTCCATTTTGCACTATTGCGCCACTCTGACACGAAGGTTAGGTGCGTCGCGGCAATAACGGCCCCCGTGTAGTAGAGTGACTATTCTCTTTACGTTTTATCTAATGTCATCTATAATTATTTACTCCTTTATGAAAACTTAATGACCTGACTTGGTCTCAACAACACACGTACCACCTGCAGAGTCGCCGCGACGCGACGTACCACTAGAAACTTTCACGATGACAGATACAGTATCGGCCATATTGTTTCTCCGACCACGTGACGTAGTACGTCAGAGGTCGACGCTCTATACGAACTTTGTGTTCGAATTGTTTCAGAAAACTTCAAGCTAAATTGAAATTAGGAAAATATCAAGAGTGATCGTTGCTACGGGTTTCAAAGTTTTTACTTTTCGTGATATTCAAAATAGGATCTGTCGCTTGAAATAATGTCAACATGACTTTTTGGTGTTTTAAATTAAGATGTCGGGATATACAATGCACAGTCAAGTACGTAACTGTAGTGTTTAATAACCTATAACGATTTCAATTTGAAATTAATTATATTTTGTCTTATAGACAAATAATCGTAAGATAGAGTGTTAAGTGTTATTGTAATAATTTCCTTGGAATATGCGCAGCCATGAGATGGTAATTATCAATTCGGTCTTACGGCGAATGCCATTATGTATTCTATTTGGAGATCAGACACCAGTAATTGGAATATCGTCCGAATTAAATTAGTGTGAACGTCGATTCAAACGTATTGTGCGCTACAATACTTGTCCGATTTAAATTCAATTCCGAATCCTATTCATGCTCTCGGAGGGATTCCCTCCATGAATGTATGTAATACGAGCCGTACGTGTAACTGTAGCTGACTGAAATTTATGTATTATGATAAACAGCACTCTGGCATGATATACGCATCCGATATACGCGATTTAATTAAACAACACTAATTGAAAATTCCGGTCGCCTCCTATATCACAAAACTTTATTTCCCTTATTTAAATATTACACTAAATTCAAAGAACATTTATCATCCTATATTGTTCTCGCACAACAATGTGAACGGGTATTATTTTAGTTTTCCATTGCAACAACTATTTATCCGAGACAGAATAAAACTTTTCTTTGCAATGGAAGTAGAGCTTTCTTAACCAAGTTTTAATTTCACTAACTAAAAAGCAGGAATCCTCTCATTGCTAGAACGGTGTCGAGGTATCAAGCATCTTTGTAAATTTCTCTCAGCAACAAAGTTACGGGCACTCGGCAGAGAGAAGACCCCAACTTGACACTATTTTCAGTCTAGTCGAACTCCAAAAGTTTAAGCAACAAAGCTTTTCTCAAGGATTGACATTGTAATCCGGTTTGTTACTTTATAAAGACAAAGTCTTAGAATCTTGAAGGACTTTTCATCCTGTCAGATCCACCCAGGACTTTACTTGCGGAACACCTAAAGACCTTTTACTCCAGGTTTCTCAAAGGGTCTCATATGACTAAAACAAAAGTTACACCTTCCATCAAGACACGCTACACCCGACTGAATTTTCGACTTTGTTTTTAATTTTAGCATTTAAAAATATCTCCGATTAACTTCTATTTATATTAAATTTATATATTCAATTTAACACGTAATCTGATATCTGAACGTCTATCGCATATGTATATGATATACTTGACAATTCTCATTTTTATTATTGCCATACTCTTCCAACTGGGGACGCTGGGGGTTGGTTTTTCGTTTGGTATACACACGTACATTTTCATAACTCATAGATATTACGAATTCTCCTAGATATCGTGAAATATTCTAAGACCTTCCTGTTTCCTAGCCGGGGGCCTGTTTGCTTGCAGTTCTCTCATATTTTACTGTGACGTATCTGTATATCCAGTATATCGTAACATTGACTACGTGCCAATACATGGACATACGCTGACTCCATCGATTCTATTTTACGAGTCATCCAGGTGTAGAGTATCTGTTGGGAATGATGTATCAAGCAGTTGCCCCACAGACGATCGCCGTACCGATAACTGCGCTCTAAGCTCTGCTTATTCAGACACCACGTGTCAGATTTTGACAAGACACAGAAAGAATTTGTCAAGACCCTTTAGAGGAATGACAATCGTTAAAAATAAAAAATTAATTGGATGAAAATCAATTTACGTAAATATCATCCTAATGGTATAGCGAAAATTTTTCTATTTTCCCTGTTCTACATTAACCTCAAGCCTTATCTGCAAATAGCAGCAATAATTGTTATTCTTTATTCGATCAGTTCAGATCCGATTAGCAGCGTACTCGAGGTCTGAAATTCTCGTAAATTAACGCTATCGCGTGTCCGTAACGTTCAGCTGGATTTCCAAGCTAACCTTAAGTTTTATCGGCCGCTTGAAAATATCGCGAAAGAAATCCCCATTATAATAAAGAAGCCTCGAGAGTGCAGGAGGTTACGTTTGAGAAAGATACACTGGTAAGATGGTAGATGCGCGAAATGGCGTAGCGCGAGGACGCAGGGAGAAGCAAAATACGTATCTCGAGGAGTCATCGGGCACGTGTGGCACTCGGGGAATCTTCACGATTTTGCAAATATTACGAACCGCGTTCGCTGTTCGAGGTCCTCGGTAAAATGGAGAAATTTTATCCGTCAACGTTTTGGGTTACGTGATGGCATCGGGTCTGGGAGGTTGTTGCATTTTCATTGGAACATCCTGCCTCCGATAACCTCCACCCTTTGACCCCTTGGTCCTCCTCCCTACCACTGCTCATCCCTCCACCACTACCCTGTATCATCGCTATGCTCAGTCACTCGCACCGTAGAAAGCTTAGGGTACCTCCACACCGACGGTAACAGAGGGCAGGAGGGCAGGACGGTTCTCGAAGTGGCGAAGAACGATAAATTCTTTCGGTGGCAGCGGCTGCGCCTGGGGCTCTTAATTTACACCTATGCATAGATTAAATTTACATGGTAAGCGGCCGCCTCTAATGGATATTCACCCCGAGCCCTGTACACCTACTGTCTCTTTGGGGGTGTTTACGAAGGGAGCCTCTGTATGGTAAAAGGATGGTAGTACACCCTTCGTTTAGAGCTTTCGCAAGATCACTTTACCCTATCTTGGTTATGTTATCAGAGTGGGGACTTTGGTATAAATTTATTTTTCGGGGTGACTGTACCCCCTCTTTTACAGGGTGACTCTGGCGCGATATGGGTTGATCCTTAGGGATGCGGCTGGATTTCGATGACTGGGTGCATCTTGGGGAGGACCTGTGCTGCTTTATGAAAATTCGTGGCACTACCCTCAGACGTGGATAGAGAGCAGTCGGAGTTTTCCAAGGGTTAAATCAAACGGTGGGACACGGGGTAGAGTGTCGGAAAATTGAATAAAGGTTAAAGGCCGAGATGGACGGGGGATGAATTTGAGGGAGGGGATATTGACAAGGACTCTCCAATGTAAAGTACTCCTACCCTATTGATTCCCGATATGTGTACCTTCTTATTTCTTGGCGTATAGCGTAACCGTATCTCGAGAGCAAACTACCCCTAAAGAGAGTGGACTGATATTCGATAAGAATTGCTTCACCCTGCGTTTGCATTTTTCTTATATTCACGCTCTACCCTCGGCGTATCCGCTGCTCCTCCTCGAAATCCCAACTCGAGCGGAACACCCCGGATAGCGTTCCCAAGGGATGCTGATCGCGTGCAAAATACTCGGTAATACCAGACTCGCAATTTTTCACACGTACCTTTTATCCTTACTCGATTGGAATTTTGTCTACTTTGAAAAATTGCCTTGTAAACCACAATCGAAGGATAAAGGGCCGATATGATCCGCCCTTGTAACCGCGTATTATTGTTACGTATATTAATCTGGAATTCGCAGCATCCAACGGCACAATTTTCATCTGTTGTCCGGTACGCAATTAAATACTGGATAAATTCCACGTGTCGATTTAAAGCCGCTCGGCTTAAACGCGGATGAACCAATTTTTCTTTCCTTTTTACTCAATTACTTTATTTCCGGATGCGCCACTCATTCCCATAGCTCTTGGCTTTTCCTGCAGGTCCCGGAAGAACGAAATGGGAAAGGAAGGAGGAGAAAGGGTATTAAAGGAGTACCAATTGAAATTGCATCACTGCCAACTATTCGAGGATTCTCGGTCCTGTATACTTTCGATTCTCGTAAATTAAGTCCAGTTTTAAAAGCAATCTTTCTTCTTTTTTATTTTTTTTTCATTCAGTTTTACTTATTTCGCAAAGAAATATATCGACTTAAGTTTCTCATTTGTCTCCATTGTCATTCGCGTATTTCTCGATTTTATGCACGACGGAATAAAAATGGGCGTCGTCGGTTCGACGATAATTAGATTTTATTAGCGATTAGATGCTGGGTCGATCGGGCAATTTCGACGACGGGGCTACTGTTACCGGGTGGGTTACGTGATGCGAATAAAGGAAAAGGTAATTTGCCCTTAATTTATGGCCTTGGACTGTAAAGGGTCGAAGGTTAAACGTTGAGATTTTCATGAGGTAACACCTTGGATATTTCTATATAGTTTAACATGGATTTGCTTAATTTTGGATTATGAAAATATTTTCAATCTTGCACATCTGTAGCGGCGTGCAAGTTGTTCAAATTGAAACGGACGTGGGGCGTTGCTTAAACTTTTTAATATATTCGAGTATTTATTAAAATTTACTTGGGAAACGAGAGGGTGGCTCGACCTTATATTCGGATCGGAACCAACTACGTTTTTACATATATTAAAAGCTACCCCGTGACTTTGAATTGATAATTAAATTTTTTTTTCATATCAATTATGACTTCTTGGATGTCGTCAGGGTTCCGTATAAGGACATTGTGGCACATTTGTCACGAAAAAGTTTTTCATTGTCATTAAGAAAGGCGGAGTTTTTGTTTCTACGCTGTTTCTTGTAATCTCGTGCATCTTGATAATTAATTGTTAATATTTAATATATTTTACGTTTAATTTCTCTTTTACCTTTTCCATCCCAGCTAATTGTAAGGCAAGTCGATGCAAAGATAAATGAACAATATGGGTTCTTTAGCCTTAAAAGAAACTTTAATTCATATGTAATATTTACCCACGCTAAATATGAGCTCCTAGTTGCGATTATCTTTTTTGACTTTTGGTCTTGTGCTCCCACTGACTCGAAGGAGGCGAACGTTATTAACTATATATTTTACGAGAGTTGCACCATATATATATATATATATATATATATATAATATATGTGTGTGTTTGCGAATATGAAAAGTCTCGAATTCGTGGAGCGTCGAAAGTAAAAAGTTTGTTAAAATCAACGAAGGCAAAAGATTCTCAAGAAATATATATTATTTACTCCTTCCTTTCATCCTCGAATAACTCTTGCTAAATATCAACGACGAAAATTGCCAAGTTCATATAGAAAAGTTAGCATCTCCCTTTGACGATTCGTCAGTGGCGCCCTTAGATATACCCTCTTTATTTTATTTTCTTGTATGGCTTCACTCATCTTTTATGTCGAGGGTAAATTCCAGAGTCCCTAGTTACGTCCTGGGTCAGTCGAGCGTAAATTTCAGGTCGATCGAGGTAAAAGGAAGAATGAAAAAAAAAAAAAAAAAGGAAAGAAAACGGAAATAGAAACTAAAAGAAAAGAGCCGATTGGACTTGTAAAACTGTTTTCCAAGGGTAATATTTCAACGGTAAAAAGTTCGGAATTCTTCATCGTCAAAAGATTGCCTCATTAAGGATGCATTATGCACCCCCTCGTAAATCCTCCATGATACAACCAAGGTGTCTGATTAAAGTACAACAGGAGGAAAGGACGCCTTTGCGGAATATCCATCTGCGAGGATCTACGTTTAATTTAACAGTGAGTAATGGACGATTGGCAATTATTGTAATTGAACATTTTCTTTTTGTATTTACTTTTGTACGTATTAGGAACCGAGCCAGATCACTTCAAAGTCCTTGGGATGACAGGAAGGAGACTCTTTATTCGTAGATGAATCCTAAAGAGGATCTTGATCCTGGAAGCTGGAAAAGTGGGTACTCGAGTCACTTGACAAAATCAAGTTCCCTCTTATCGAATATTATGCGAAAACCTCCGTTTATCAAAGAGGCACACAACAATTTTAAATAAGATTCAACCACTTGTTTCGTTCCTTTCAGCCCGGATGCCCGTAAAATTGCCAGACGTTATGGGAAATTATTGGTCCATATGAATATTCGTCTTGGTTCGTTAATGAAATTGGTAAAAGATTAATTAATCGGTGGTACGAACCAACCACAGGCTATTCTGCTAAACGAACTTTGCAAAAGCCAATTTTCATTAGAGGATAAATCCTTTTCTCTATGATTTTGTTTTCATAGCTTCATTTCATCGGCCGTTTCTCTGGGTTATTGACAATTTCTAGTATATATGGTAAACACGTTATCTTTGCTAATTGGCTCGATAATTAACTCTCGCGTTACTCGTGCCTATAGTTACGCCAGTTTCATATAGTTTGAACTGCTCATCGTGGGTCCCTATGTAATCGGCTCTCACGAGACGGAACAGATGAAATGGCTATGAATTTGGGATCCGTAGTTGCAGTTCGATTAATCCGTTAACGCACGGTTACGCTGATAGCCAAAGTTACACCGTAACCTTTAAACTTGCAATAGATATCTAGATTTCTGCCTATTTCCCTTTTCTGTATACATATATATATATATATATATATATATATATATTCATCTGTATTATCCAATGGGATCGTTATCGGTTTAATGACTGCTGTAATCGTACCGTTCACGGTACACCGATTTCCTCTTTCTTCCTTAATCACTTTCCATAATACATAACCATTTACGTAATCACACTCGTAATTATTCAAAGCCGCGGGAACGAATAATCCCAAACTTATTGTTGGTATAGAAAATATTTATTCGATCAACAAAAATGTGTTTGTCTATTCGGTAGGGATGGAAGTAACATTTTTGGAAAGTACGAAATTACATAAATTAATGTAAATCGTATTGATATGAATTTATAATACTCTTTGTTATTACTTAAACATTAACGTGAGCAGGGGGCGACACGAGCATTGGCATTAGGATTAGCATGTAAAAAAGAACCCTTGTTTTCAAGGCTCACCTTGTACTCGAGCGGTCCTATTCGTTTTGATCATGTAATAATTTCTGGCTGGCACTCGGGGCTTAATACAAGCCTGTATAATCCAATCCGAGTTTGGGTTTTGGAAGGTGGGGCCTTAGTCATTAGGAAAATGGAAAACGTCACCGTGGCCCAAGTAACGTTTGTCACAATTAACCGAATATACGTGTGAAATTGTGTGGAACCGCAAGCTACCAGCGACGGAAACTTGGAGCGTTAATCTTTTACGAAAAGAATAAAAGTTATTTTGGGTTAAAAAAAAAGTGACGGGAAAATATTTATCTCCACTCACCCCTTCACCCGCCGCTTTGTCTGGAGGTGATGGCCTAGGTTCTTTCTGCGTTTTCAGCCGATAGGAATGAGACACGGTAGACGGAGGTTTTCAAAAAAATAATAAAAGGAAGGATCTGTAGTCCCTGAGTTTCTTGACTTTTCGAATTGGATCAATGAATGAGGGCGAGAAAACTTTTTTTATCTTTTGCAAGAATTTTCAAATTTATTTTTATTATGTCTCTCGATATTTCCTTTCGGAAATTTTACTTTTTATATCCAGTCTAATGTTTCTTTTTTTTTTTTTTCAGAAACATCCTCCGCGATAGCTATACGAAGAGGAATTGTTCGTAACAGGCATGCAGCTTTTTTTCAAAACGATTTTTACTAGGCAGTATTTTTCATAGCAGCGAAACGGACTGCTGTTACGAAATGGTAATTCCTATCTGAGGTTATAGTTGTCTTTTATGGCGCTCGAGATGGGGGGTAGTTTAGTACGAAGCTCATGAAATTACCTACTGTACGCAATTTCTTGGCATCGAATGCATTTAAATGATTCGTAAAAGTATCTATTCCATTTCACGTTATCATTTTGACCATTTTGTCGGGTGATGGTTTTCGATAATTTCAGACATTTTTTTTTTCTTATTTCATATATCATTGATAACGCCCATCAATTAATTTGTATACCGCGAGAGGATATTTTTGAAAATTTTAATTTAGTATATTTTAAGTAAAACCGAAGAAGGTTACCTAATGTCGTATTTTATAAGTAGGCACGATATCCGTGACGTAGTTAAATCTCACGATCGGATGGCTCTTCGTGTAAAAATGTTTCTTGGGACTTTGAAGTGCAATCGAAGTAAAGGAGAACCGTGAGGGAAGAACGCGGAAGAAACGTGGAGAAACCTTAAAGCCGATGGAACGTTTAAACGGTGGAAAAATTCAATTTGACTTTAACGAGGCGGAACCAGAGCCGGATATCTGTTTTTCCTTTGGTATACCCCTAACGAGATCCGTTAGATATCGAACGTTAATCGATTCGTGAAATCTGCTGAAAAATCGTGGAAAAAGATATTTATGCTATACGGTTCGCTTTAACCCCCGGCAAACCGAAACTACAGGGAAAAAGAAGGAAATAAAAATAAATAAAGGAGATTCCCTCGAGGCTTGTTTCCTTAATTCAGTAGTCTAATTAGTGACGTGACCCTCTAAAAAATGTCCTAACTTACTCCTGTCTCTCCTACTGGTTAAATAGAAGCTGCGAATACAGATGCTTCGTTATCTTGTATCTCGTTGAAAAAGAAATTCTCAAAAAAACGTGGCTAGACCTTTCTGATCCGAGCAGTTTAGATTGGTCGTGGATAAGACATGAATTTTTGAAAATTTCGTTCGAGCGCGAACGTGTGACATTTTTTTTTCACGGAATGCGAGGTAGGCAGAGAGAAAATTGTACAGTCACTCCAGAAGAATGTTTCTTTATTTCGTAGCGTAAATTTTACATGAATCCTTTAAGGGTGGATTTGCGTTTGAAAGAGACAAAAAAATTGCGACCTTGGCAAGCGATGACGAGGAAGAATCAAATTCAGTGCTATCAATTGGAGGCTCAGGGGCGACTGAATTTAATTCCGCGGCTCTATTTACCCCTTTCTTTTTCCATAGTTACATAGATGCAAGGCTCGCACTTGCATATTCTTTCGACTCTTTCAATTTACGGACCAGCCATTTTCTGCGAAACGAAGAATTATTTTGAAAATATTCGCGAAGATTGGAAATGGATTAAAAAAATACCTCTCAGTGATCCCGGCTGAAACTTACTGGAAATTTCCAATGCTACCACGCAATAACAGCACAACTTATCTCGAGATATCGATATTAACAGAATTATCATTACTTAACGATTAACCATTATCGATCTCAATTTCATTCGTTCATTCATTCGCCCTATACAATATAACGCCTTGAATTATCCTATCGTCCCTATAGAATACAATCCGTATGATTAGACAATAAATATCAACATTAATGCCTAACAGTAGTGTCAAGTGATCCGAGAGCAAACGTCAAAATAATCGTCGAGGTTGAAATTCGAAAAATCCCCCAAAAAATTCTATCCTCCAAACTTTCATCTGCACCTGCTATTTCAGCAACTCTTTCTTCACGTTAAATCCACTTGTTACTTTAAACGTCTATTTCACGTCTTCCTCTACTCAATGCATAAACGTGCATCTGTCTCTCCTGCAATCTAGACACGTGCTTCGATATCACGTGAATAATTTTATTTCTAGCACCCGATCAAAATTTTTTGCGGGACCGCCAAAAAAATGTACACCCGCGTCACCGGGTTTGCTCTCGTTTCCTCTTTTTTTTTTTTTTTTTTTCCATACTCTTAACTAATCAACTATTCCTCGAATAAGGTTTCTCTCTTTTGTTTTCACTTTTCTTATTACTCTCTAATAACACAGTTCTACCATAAGCGTATTAAACTTGCCACCGTGATACGAGAGCATATCTTATTGGAATGTCTTATCGTCGGTTCCCCCGTCGCTCCTCCCCTCACATTCAGCATATGTTTTTTTTTCCCTTTATTATCATCCATCGCGTCATTCCTCACATTACTCTATCGCTCTCTTCCTGTCTCCGATCGTTCTCACGAAATGGACTTATTTCGTAAGCCCAACAATGCCTGAATTATCATTAACGAACTGATTGTACCTCACAATAATTTTCTCGCTGGTTAATTAAGCTAATCGTCATCACGCCAGCCAGAGTCGCACTTGGAGTCATCGTCGAACCTAAAATTCATCTTACCACGTGACACTCAGAGAATCGAGGCGAAAAATACCGTAATGATAAACGCGATAGGGTCCTTCTCTCCCCCCCTACATTGTCTTTTTTTAAAAAATACATTTTCCAAATCCAGACGCACCTAAACCCGCGATCAAATTCGTAAAGCCCGACGCAACGATTCGCCACGAAAAACAATTATCGAAATCATAAGACTTTGGTACAGCATCTGTGAAATACGTTGATGCTAAAAAAAAAAAAACGATATCTCAGCCTCTCGTTTAACGATTCGTTTCGGTTTTTTCTTTTCCGTTTTCCTTACATATTTTTATCTAACACGTCGATAAGGCAGGAAATAAGCGTACGCGAACCTAAAAACGTATTCTAATCTCTAGTCAAGTTTCATCGATTCTCTTATTGCCATTTGTATAGTGTGATAACATTTTGTTTTCCAATCGAATTGTGCTTTTTGAATAATCCTTTAACAATCGTTAATTTATTCTTTTATCATTGACAATCGATGTGTCCCTTCTTGAAAAATCTCTTGTCACAGTGATCGATATCTATATGTAGAATTTGAGTGTTGATTGAAAACGTATCATCAGCATCTTCCCATCTCCTTGTCGCATCGTTCATTCGATCTTCAAGTGACACGTGCCGTTTATTATTATTATTTATAAATATACATGAAATTACAATAGGCAAGGAAACGGCACGCGGATCATTTGATCGTCCTATCATTACTATATCCATTAACGTTAATACAGTCGAAATTCGAAAATACTATTTCCAGTTCCTATCACATAGGACATTTGAGTGTAACAACGAAATTGAATGACTTGGTCCTTAAATTAATAAACCATGTTTTTACATACCTGGAGATTCTTAGAATAATAATATAAAGGTATTTTTACAATGATCTCTTATTTTCATCCCTTAGATACACACACACACACACACACACACACACAGTGCGGGTTTGGTCCGCTTGCATCAATGCATTTTTTCCACCCACTATTTTTAGTCTGACTAAAGTAGCGTTGATGTTGCGCATTTACCGAATGACAGTTCGAAGATTAGCTGTTGGTACATTTAATTAATTATTATTTTGTACACACATATATATATATATATATACTCGTAGCCCGTTAATATATATATATTTTTCTTACAATAATAACCTAGGTACGTACGATGCCTCAGGACTCGAGTCGTTTTCACAAGGCATTTACGATAAATGAAAATACTTGTTTCTCTCCTCCCGCCATGTCACGGCTACATATTAAGAATGTCGCGTCAGGCTCGTTAATTTTAATTAATAAATTCTCTTATTCGTAAAACATTGAAAGTGCATGATCAACGAGTATAACTATATGTATATTCGGTCGATGGTCATTTATCGGAAAATTTGATAAGTTTCGAAAAATCCTATACATTTGTAATATCAATATATCTTACAGTATTTTATATATCATATATATGTATATATTACATAATATACTATGTACATGGATACGATAGGTATACGGATTACACGTGTTTTTCAGTATACGTTAACTCGACGATAACAAGGTTATTGTTGTTTGTTCATGTACGAAAGTTTTTTTTTGATGTATTATTTCGCCAGTAGGACGGAGGGTGGAAGAAATCGATTGTTCGGAAGGGACTTCGAAACGGACGTCTATCGATTGAGATTGATCGATAGGAAATATAGAAATCGTAAGTGAATTATATATTGCCGAATATTTTGAGGGTTAGCTCTTGTATAAATTTTATATTATGTACGTATAGATACGGCGGCGTGTGTATGTACATAGACAGCTGGAGAATATTCGGCAAGTCCCGGGGATATACTTTGAGGGGTCGTCAGACCGGAAATTGCGACCTCGATACATTATGCCAAGCGAAATATAATATTTCGATGGTTTTGTGGCAACGTACCTCCTTCCCCTGCCCCCTTCCTCCCCGCGAAACGGGCCGGCTCTCATTTTATTTTCAATTAACGTCATTCACGTGGCTCGCGCTGGAAAACGATACCGAGGATATCCGTTCGCGAAAAACTCACCCTCTTCCTTTGTTATCTTATCCCGTGGTCTTCCCGCGGAGGCCTCGGAAAGCCGATAAGCTCCGGGAGGCTCGAATGGTTTTCTCGATGAAAGGAATGGATGTGAAAGGGAAGAATGAAAGAACCGAGCCAGGAATCGACGGGACGGTAGGCGCGCATCACGATAAATAATCTGGCGTTGGTAAACCGCGATGTGGATTTGCCGATCGTGAGGAAGAGAAGAGAGGGGAAAGGAGGAGAAACAATAGTTACCAACGGGTCATTCGTTTAATGCCTTTGTTGCTGCTTTTTTGCACCGGTGCAACCGAGAACGGAAGATGCACTGTAATTGCATTGGCACTGAGCGGTGTCTCGATATTTTAACGTTAACGGCGAAGCATTAGTTTCGAGTTTGAAAAATGTCCGAGAGGTCAAGTAAAATTGGACGAAAGGCAGAATTCGCAGAGCGAAGCGGCGCGGGAGTGGCATTTTGCGAAATAGTGCAAATAAGTCAGGGGGTGGAAAACGAGAAGCAGCGAGAGGGTTTGTGAGATCGAATTCGTCTTTTTTTTTTTTTTTATTTTTTTTTTTTTTGAAAAGCTTTTCCCAGGAATCTTGAGAAATTCCTTAATTAAACTTTTCAGACATCCCTTCGAAACTAGCGTCTCTGTTCCTGTAAGGGAACTATGGGCAAGATGCTTTTGCGTTGTAGGCAAACAAGATAGTCCATCAAGTCCAAGAGAGCTTCTGAGGTATTCTCACTGTATGGATGGGATTATCTTTTTTTTTTTTGTTATTTTCTCTCTCATTGTACCTGTCTACTTCCATTTTCTCTACTTCTCACCATTGCGCTCTCGCTCTGTCCGTCTTTTTTTTCTTCTTAAGTTCGGACAATTTCACCCGGGCCATTTATCAACGTTTGGCGGAATAATTAAAAGTTCAAGATATCCGGATTGGAAATGAAATATTTGGCAGGAAAGTTAAGCCTTCATTTTTATGCCAGAAAATGCCGTAGCGACGGTTCTGCTTAGTCAATTTTTTCGCACTGCGTCGGATAGCTTTGGTTATTCGCTGATTAAATCTTGTCAGACGATTTGCGATGTCGCGTTCATTTAATTTTACTTCGTTTTCGTTTACCCACTACGAAATGGTAAACGCGCGCTACGTTATTCGATTGAAAGCTTCGTAACCCTTATTTCTCTATTCGATATTGTTGTACCGATGATCCGTGGTTTTTACGTCGTTCGCAGCTGTTATAGGTATAACTGTGCGTTGGCAGTGTTGTGATAATTGTTATACAGGATCAAAGGTTCGCGTCGCGGTCTTTTTTTTTATTGCCAAAAACTGTGTTTTTCACATACGAAATTTCAGCGAAGAAGAGGGACGACGCTGGAAAAAATTGTATCGAATAAAAATGTCACGCGTGACGAATCGAAAATCTTTCGTTATCGAAAAATTGACAAAATTCAATTGCGAGAGAATCTACACATACACATCTGCCCGAGACTGAGTTTTTTTTAACGAAAATTTTACATTCTCCCTGAAAGAAATTTTCGCGAATCGAATATTCGTCCCGTGCGATATTGCGGAGAATAATAAATAGGATTCTAAAGGAAAAAGAAAAAAAAAAAGAAAAAAAAATACATTCATCGTATACCAAAGGAAAAAACACGTGTATTCCCCATTACCACGAGTCACTCATCGTTCGTTCAAATTTCTCTTGCATCACCTGTACACATTTTTACATTTCGCAAAAACACGAGACGAAGAGCCTTAAAGCTACACGGTATGAAGAGTAGTAAGACAATTTATCGTAATTTACGTTTCGAGAGCATTACTTATTTACAGACAAGGATTTTTCAAAAGATTAGAAAAAGTGGAGAAGATACGATACACGTATTACATAATGGCTCCATTAGGTATCCTACGCGTTCCTGCTAAGTTCTACGGAGTATACTAAACGTCAGTCGAGTGAATTTCCGTAACGGAAGCAACGCGCAGACGGGCCAGGAGAGTGCAGGGCCCAATAGCTGCACTCGCTGCCAGTACAATTTTCCAGCGATATCCGAAGGTAACGTTTCGTGATCGAAGCCGTTTAGCATCCGTTTTCGCGAGCTCACCGCCGTGGAAATTGTAAGAGTGATTGGATTCGATAATCCAGAGGAAATTGATACAAGATTTCCCATGCACCCGAGGTAAAGTCAATTACGAAGGGTTAACGACGCTTGGTGCAAAGCAGCCCCGTTAAATTCCTTCGGGACACCTCAAAGGAAGATAACGAGGAAGGGTGGGAAGCTACTAGTTTCTAACACGAGTTAGAAAAAATGTCGTCACCAGCCTGGTACGATCTCACACATGAAATATATTGGACGTAGGAATAATCGTGTATCGATAATAAATAATTAAGAAATAATTAATTCCTACGAGTAGCCGATTATTCGCAGTCGCAACTTTTATATTCCATATATGAAATCCTGGGACAATACAATAAACGTAACCTTCCACCCTAAACCCACTCCTACATGTAATGGCGCACCCCCATTCTTCTTCCCACGCTTCTTCGTCGTCTGCATAGAAGCTTCTTGAAAGCGTTTCTGAACTCTGGCGAGAATACTGTGTAGATCGCAGGATTCAGGGTGGAATTGAAGTACCTGAAACATAATGAGATTCTCGATACTCCAATAATCATTATTGTACAGAGGAGTTTTTAACGCAGCCCTTTACGTTCGAAAGGTCATCGGTACGTCGTTGATAGTATGGTACCAGTGACGTAGCACTTCCGGTTGTAAGTTCCGGTGGTCTCGAATACGATTATTCGTTGTTTCCTTCAAGACTCACCCGAGCCACTGAAAGAAGGCCACGAAGTAGTTGCTGATATGGCAGGTCTTGCAGACCGGAAGTAGAATTGCAATGACGAAAAACGGAAGCCAGCAGACGACAAACGCACCGGTGATGATGGCCAGTGTCTTGGCGGCTTTTCGCTCGCGTTTCGAATCTGCCGCGATTTTTTTCCTTCGTGAAACCGGCGGCCTGAGCGACGCTTCTGACGTCGGTGGGTCAGCTTCCAGGCCATTGTGATAGGACATCTTCTCCGGTGACGTGTTGGTCGAGCTGACTGTCGTGAAGGCCGTGGTTGTTTCTGAAAGTAAATAAAAAAAGTTGACGCGACGGCACGCGTCGTCTTTGTTATTATTTATTATTTATTTTTAACACTCTCGATCGAGTTTATTAATTTTTCGCTAATTTATTATATTATTTTAATTCATCTCCTGTCTCGTCCTCGTATTTATGGGCTTCGCATTGAATGGAGGTTTCCTCTGGTATCTCCCCGCGCCTTTATTAAACCGGTTACCCGTCGATGCTGCAAACGACGACCGCGCACCATTATTTCCCGACAAATGCAATTTCCCGTAATGCCGTAACGCGGTAAAGTTTCTCTCTCTAACCGACCTAACCCCTTCCTCCCCACGCGACAGGAGCCGAGACAAGCCTTTAGGGCGGTTCTCAAAGTGTCGTTAAAAATAACGCGATGATTAAATTCTAAACAAGGTAGCATGGTGGATCTAGCGAAGAAAATCTTTTTTTTTTAGCTTTTAGGTAAATTAATGTAGGGTGCGTAGCGTTTCGTGGCTCGTGTAAGTAGGTGGCGGTACAAGAGCGAGCTAAGCGAGGCCACCGACGGAGGGCAGCGCCACGCAGTAGTGCAATGCGCGCAAGAGTACGAGCAACAGTGTAAGACGTGCAGTATTGAATAAATTGTTCTAAATTTTTTCCCCAGTGTATTGCCTCCCAGACCCAGCCATATGAGAATAAGAATACCATATTAATATAGAACGCATTCGAAGGATTTCTTAATCGCAGTTATCGATTTTAGTACTTAGAGTTCTCTAAACTTAATTCCATAATCTATATATATATATATATATATACTCTCCTCTAAAAGGTTTATTTAATTTTCCAGTCCAAGCTGCATGGCGTCCCAATAAAAAAGAGTCATGGGAAGATCGGTACCTATTCTACCAGCTTAACAGCTTCTACCAACGCGCTAAGAAAGACAGGGAAGTGTCCATTAATTCTTTCTCGGAGTTTCAGTATCAAGACAGTCGCCGCAGTTGGTCACTACGAAATACCACGGAATTGGAACTGTCTGTTTTATAGAGCGGAATCCATGTTTACCGGATATCGTCGGCAACGGTCGTCCTATTACAGCGACTACTGCCGCAGCAATTCCACCGGAAGTCTGTGCCTGGGCCAATGCTCCACCAACGGCATGACTGCTTCCTATTGGTCTCGGTGGTGCACCTCCCATAGTCTTCATAGTTCCTACAAATTATATCGTAATATTTAAATATTTTTTTAAAATATCCAATAAATCAATACCAGATTGAATTAATTAATGTATTATTTATCTTCTTTTTTTAGGACCTTGCGGTGCATTCGCAGGCTGTCCCACTCGTCTCCTGATGCGTTTTCTCGCGGTTTGATATATCCTCCAGTAAAGGATCAAGATGACGAAGAGAGGCAGGTAGAAGGATGATATCGTGGCGAATATCTGCGTGAAGAAATAATTAAGCTTTATCGAGTATAACTGTTATTATTATTATTTTTCTTAATTATTCTTATTACGCAATTACAAAGAAAGGTATACCTATATCAGACTCGGGCATTAATTTATATTAATAACTGCTAACCAAGATGGGCATTATTGTTATAAGGTAACAATGGCGGACGTCTAATTGTTCGCGTGCCACGCTGCCTCGTACAATAATGCACAGTGAAAAGGTGAATAGGACACGGTCACTGTATACCCCGTTCGTGGAAACTGCGGCCTTTCGTCTTTCACGACTCGACTGTTTATAAAAGAATATTAAGTCGCGAGTCACCGCATATATTGTTAACGTGGAAATTGCAGTAGTTACTCGATAATTTGACGTATTAATTTAACACATTGTCATATAAACTTTTAACGTGCGTAATTTAAAGTCTTCAATGTAGACTCTTAGGTTATATCGTATCGATCTACCAAAATGTCATTACATTAAGAAAAACGTTGAACGGCATAAGGATTTTTGTTTTTGAAAATCGCCGCCATATTTGAACAAAGGTATAAAAGATATTTAAAAAAAAAACGTCACTCCCAGCTTCTCCAGGCGTTACGTTGAACGTCAAATGGAATATTGCGTATTGCGCAAACAATTGCAAAATGCTTTGTTCATACTCCAGTCAGGCATTCGCGAGGGAATTTCAATGCGAAACACATTTTCTGCAACTTTTTAATAGCGCAGAAACTGTTGGCCCAGCTTGGGCGCGCGCGTTGCGCCTTGAACTTTTGCAAATGACTGTAGAAAGTTTTAAAAGTGAATAAGGTCAATTAGCAGAGACTCTTAACGAATGCTCTATATTCGGAAAACGTCAGTGCCAGCTGGAACTGTCGTGGCATTGTGCAATTGGTGATATTCCGTTATTAAAGCATTAATGAAATTTATGCGATAAGACGGCGGATCTTCGAAATCTATTCAGGCCAGTCCAGGAGCAAATTAACACAATGTCATCTGCATGTTAATCACTGGACGAACCTGATATCCAACATCTTGACTGACGAGACAAAACTTCTCCTGTATCACCCTCATCTCCCAATGCTGATCCTTCCAGCCCAGCAAGGGGGCAATGCACACGAGAAAAGCCACCAGCCAGACCACAGCGATCATCAGTCCGATTCTTCGTCCAGTTCTGTGATGAATGTAATCGATGTTGGTCACAGCCCAATACCTGTGGACCAAGAGAGGACTGATAAAAATTTTAAGCAATCAATGAACAAGTTTAGCCCGATAAAAGAAAAATCAACAGACTTCGTCTGCCTTGGTCCAGCGCAGCATCCCTTGGTCAGCCAGGATCAAGGTACAGGATTTCATAAAAATAACACGTACCCAAAACTGATCTCGACTCTGTTCTAGGTCGCACTGTCAATGTCCATTCCAAAGCATACAAATGGAATCGAAGTAACGAGGGCCAGAAGGTGGCAGAGATGCGAAGACTTGGAAGAGGGTAAGACGGCAGAGGGATAGGGCTCTATAACCCTTACTTCATGGGCGTAAGGGTTGCGTCTACGCGAGAGGAGGGTTCGCCGTCTCAGTATGGGGGATCGAAAGGTTTGATTGCATTTACTGGTAGCCTTTTCCGTCCCAGCAGTCTTCCAATCGCCATTTCACATTCTCGAGCCGCAGAATACCGGCCGGCTGTTCCTTCGCTTCCGCCCGATTAAACCTAACCCAACGGACCGACCGACCGCCCCGCAGCATCCCTCCAATGGTACTTTTATTCCAAGGTACTTCGAAGGTACTGAAACGTGTCCCACTAATGCCATCTCCATTCTCAACTCGTGGTTACATTGGATTTCGATTTGGACTTTGCTAATCGATTTACTTGCGCTCTGATTATCCCTGGCTGAGATCAAAAACCATCGTGATCCTCCCTTATGCACCTTCCCTTATATATAAAACACCCCCCGACCCTCCCACTGAGTTTCATCTCTCGTTTCATCCCACGAATACTGTCTTCGCCATCCTCCTATGCATCTTCAATCTTTTCTCTTTGTCTTTCGCACGATTATGGTCCCTTTGGATTTACGTCGTACAGTCGCTCTGAAAATTACGTCGACACCAGCAGTATCCTGTATATCTTGACAGTACGGGTGCACGTTTCATAAAGCATGTGTGCCTATATATATATATATACATACGCGCGTCAGAAAAAAAGGGTGAACGGGGATAGAAAGGAACATAAAAACGAAGAGCTTCCGTTAAATCCCTCGTTTGACGTGGCTCTAATGAATTTCCACGCAGCGTGTTCGCATGGCGCGCGATTCACGATTAACGTTCAGCCAGCGAGACATTTTGGAATTTTTAGCCTGACACTTTCCCTTCGGCCTTTCATTCGTCGCGAATTCAGCCTATGTATTTACGCTTCGCATACACACGTGACACGTATGCGCCATACGGTTGCACATTGGACAACTTTTTATCCCGCGTGAAAAACTTTTTCTTTTCTTCTCCCCCCCCCCACCCCCACCCAGGGCCCCTATGTCTCTTCGGTAGGAAGTAATTTTTTGTCTTCTTCTATTTGTTTTATCCACGACTGAATTCAATGACCTTAATTCGACTCTATTGGTCCAACCCGAAGAAGGGTTCTTCAAATGAACCGACTGACCCTTTCCGATGCTTCAACGAGCCTCTATCATTTGTCTACTCTCGTCCCATAGTTTCAATGCTACTTCCATCGTCCGAAGTCGCCTCTTTCATAATCGCTCGATAATTCCATTGGGTTCCTACCCATTATCCGGAATCGATTGCAGTCTCTAAGTACCTCGATAGAGAGAAAGAGAAGGAAGAAAGGCGGAAAAGGGAGACTGGTCCCTGGCACTGGTGTTTCCCTAGTAACTTAAAGAAGAGACGGTCGACGGACCAATGAGAAATTTACGACTAATGTAAATTAACAGTCTGGATTTGTTATCTCTTTTTTTTTATCTTCAGACCGCATCTTTCATCGAATTTTGATACAACACAGAAAATCCACGGGTCCTGGATGCTTCCGGTCCTAAGACATTCGGCGACACGGGGGTCGTGCTCTGCACTGTGAGAAACAAGTAGGACGCGAACAGGCGTCGTCGAGGCTTCGAAGACAGGGGGTGGTGGGTGCGTCCCTTCGGACGCGCCACGTGTCACGAGGCTTCACTTGAGACAATGAAATCGCTGACGTACCTCCTCCTCCCCCCGGCCACCCTTATGCTTGTCGACCGACTCCGACTTCTCCGAAGAACTACGAGCCGACTCGTAGTCTCGTTCTACTCGTGCACGCTGCAATTTTCTCCCTGGCTCGCGATACATACATACTGTGCCTACCCGACACCCTATTGCACCGGAGGTGCAATGTAGTCGGACCGCGCACTTGGGAATCGTTAAATCCGGGCTTGTTAGCCGAGGCAGTCACGATAGGAAAGAATGGAATAACGGAGTGGCCGACCTAATCGAAATATGTAGGCTGAACGAGAGTTTAAGGGAAATGAGAAAAGTACTGTAATCCTGAGGGTGGTTACGTGGCTTTCGCATAGGCGTGATAATGCGAGGCTTGAAAAAGCCAAACCTTTAGTAATTGTACTTCGTGTCGTTGCGCCTAGCCGCACCCTCGTCTTACGTAATTATCGGCTCGTGACTTTAGCCTGCAGCCAGTTTCTACGTAGGAAATCATAAGTTCGAGCAAACACGTAAGTTAGTGGTGAAAATGGGTGATTGTCAATAATTGTTTATTCTGTATTGCAATTGAAAATGGACTATTGATCGGTAGCGAGGAAATTTGACTCCCCCCCAACCTCGCCCCTCCCCTGTATCTGGTATCACGTAGAAAGTAAAGAAAATGCATTTTTTTTTTCTTCATGGTCAAAAAACACTGCAAGGGTTCTTACAATGATTTTAACCCTCGAGTGTATCTTGTTAAGGGTTTTGTTAATTTAATTCATTTGTAATATTCATGAGGTATCTTCGTAGGAGGCATTAGGGGTGCTTTCGCGCTAAGAGGGTGATTTAGATAAGTATAACTTAATCTAGTAGACATCTATCCCTGGGGAATATTAGGCCACTAGAATTCTTAATAATTTTCTTTCTATTTGGCGTTTCCTCAAGGCTAACGTCCCCTGGGGTAGTACCTGCAGACATTTACAGAGTGTCTAAAGTCCCGTCCGGACATTCGCATGTGTACTTAGCTTGGTACCGTGTTGCAGTAGGACGTGTCAAATTGCTTGGAGAACCACGAGTCTCGTTATACATATTATATATACATATACATTACATGTAGTCGTAGTATATATATATGCGTATATACATGCAGAAACTATTTCCGTTTTTCCATTATCTTATGCAAATTTCCCAGCGACTCGACTCTATATTCTTTTGTTTTCATTCTCTCTATCTCTCTCGCTCTCGAAACGCTCTTATAAACATCTTACCTGCGTACACATACTGCAGGTATCTACTAGCGTCCAGCCAAGGCGAAAGTAGACAGGAAGAGGGAGATAGAGAAAGAGAGAGAAAGAAAAAGAGAGACAGGGACAAAGAAAAATATTCAAAGAATAAATGCGATCAAGATAAAAATAGGCTATTTCTGCATCCCACCCTGTAAACTATATAACATTTTGTTATTTCCTCTAACGTTACTTTTCCTCGTAGAGAAGATTCTCCATTTTCTTTTTCCCACGCAGACGTATCTTGATTCCTTCCTCCTGTCACGTCAAGACGTATGACTGCTGTATTCACGTAGCGATTCCCCAAAACTCATAAGAGCCAAGTAAAACTTTTTCAAGGTACAAGAACGCGAGATGCTCCATCCTCCTTTCCTCTGGTTTTGGTCCCTTCGCTCCTTCTCGTTCTGAGCTCCAATGGGCCTCTTTCTTAGTTTATTTCGCGAAGAAACGCACTCCAATGAAACTAACACTAACAATAAGAATTGCCCTCTCGGGAGCCATGCACGAAAATTCCTCCCTGTCCCTACTTTACCGTCGGCCGGCCTGCAGATTTTCCACGCGATACGAATTCCTTTGTTACCATTCGAGCGTCTCTCATTTCGCGTCACATTTATACCGGAATGGCGCGAGGCCTCCCGAAGTCTCGTGTAAAGTTTACGCAGTGAATGTGCAATTCTAAAGAAATAGATAATCGGTTCTGCTGTAATAGTGTCTGGAGGATTATCAGGCAGAAAGAGCGGTCAGACTCTTATCGGCTTGCTGGCACAGACGGCGTAACGACGATACTGGAAACAGCCCTTTCAGGAGCCATCAAGACTCTCTCGCGGGAGCCATCATGTAAACGACCGTCTGTGAATGGTCAACCAGAAGCCATAAGCAGTCACGAGTTAAACCTCTCTCTCTCTCTCTCCAGGCCCCCTGGAAATAGTCATCAGAGGAAACTAGAAGGAACTTTGAAGATTCCATTTTTTAGATAAACAAATAGTCCAGACGAAATATAATTATTTTAATTTACCACGGAGACAACAAGGTACTATCCTTTCTTTTTTATTATTACGATCTCGATAATAATAACAATAATGAACGTCACGAGTCTCAAATATTTCATAGATTACGTAAAACTTGTAAAACTTGATTAATCAGTTGCCATAGTTTCTCCGAAGAACTTTGATGAGGGGATTTCGAGACTGATAAGATTTTCGCATTTTCTCCGAAGGACCAAAGGATGAATGGAGATAATAGGTAAGAGAGAGAGAGAGAGAGAGAGAGAGAGAGAGAGAGAGAGAGAGTAAGATAGCAAATTTTACGTCGATGAAGTATCGCTAAGAAAATTGACCTTTTTACCTTTTCCTAATTAGGTGTCTCGGTCGATGAGTCTTCCACCCTTCTGACAGAGTAAAAAGTCTTTCGGCCACCTTGGGGAAGCAGCTTAAAACTGAACTTGCCTCGGGTCTCGTTTCTGACGTGTTACGAATCTGACATTTTCCAAAGTTTTTACAACGAAACTTCATCCCCCTCTTTGTTAACCTCAACCAACCACACCGAGTAACTGAAATTAACCAGCATGGATTTCCGTTCCGACCAATTTTCACCCACTCCGTGCATTATTTAAGATTATGAAAAAATTATTATCAGCCAGATTTATTAACGTTAATATTTCTAAAAATCCAGCAATTAAAAACTTTCCCAATTAAGCCAACAGCCGACATACATATATAATAAAGACTCATTAGAGAATTCGAAATTAATGTATATACTCGCACTGTTTTCCCACAGCGTGCATAAAATCGTCCGAGTCTGATTCCCATGAAAACTACCCAGAATTCCCTTGGCACGCGAGAAAAAGCTGAAATCAGAGGAGAAAAATAGTCGCTACTGATTTATCATTCGGTTTAATCCACTCGGAGAGTCTCGTGCGCGTCATCGCTCCTTCGTTTACCCCTTCAACTTTATTTTTCACTATTTACCCCTTTCATTCCTACGCCGTTAAAAAGCTTCGTACCTCCCCCCTTTTTTTTTTCACTGGAACCACAAATTCCCATATTTCATAATTACGCGCATTCGTAACTTTTATCATTGCATTGGCTATGATTTACGGCTAAATTCACGCCGATAACATCAGTCGACATCGGGTACTCTTACCAACCACGCAAATTACTACAGGACAGTCGACCCAACCATTTTTATTATTTAATTTTTGCTCCTCGTGTATTCGCCATACTGTATACAAATTCTTTTACGCGCACATATATATATATATATATATATCCTTGTACACATCCTATACGCTTCTACTTACCCAGACGGGATGGCTTTGTCGTCGGTCGTCTCTCTCTGTGCATAAAGAGCATTTGCAACACATACGTTAAATCCTGCAACACGTTTCCTTGTCGAGTTAATTGAGCGAGATATTCTCTGGTTCGGCTCATTGGCTGCTTATTGCTCGTGCGAGTCATTCATCGGTTAAGAACCGACCTAACGTCACCTGACGTAACATGTGACTTGACACATAGGAGAAAAAACATATAATAATTTCAACCGCGTCCATGATATTTTATCAATTCTTCTTATACAAGTCCCGGTACAGTCCGCGCGAGCAAGGTCATTTAATGCTACGAACTTCTAATTAATTCTCCCGCTCGACCAAGCGCGTAATCCGTGGTCCACTGTGAAAAATGGCAGAACCTACCATTCTCCCTCCCCGCGCCCCGCGAACAGTTGGGAATTACATTCGACGTTATAATAACGACGGCGCGGCCATAACGGTCCAAGGCGTAAGGAAAAGGGTAATTATGCAATTAAGGTCACGTGCTACGAACAGAAGCGTAACGTCTTGGGATTTACGCTCGAAAGAGCCAGTCCCTCGCAACCAATATAATTCCCTTTTCAGCAAACCTCAATATCCCGACGGCGTGTACCTAGACGAAAGAGGGGGAAGGCGGACCAGGATGGCTCAAGGCGTATTTTCATGAAACTCTGGAGATGATTCTTAAAATAGTCCTCTGGTCTGCTCTGCTGAATAATCCGGTATAAGAGAAAGGTGATAACCCTGTTTTGTATAAATCTCTGGTATAAAACCATAAATGTTATTTATCTGTTGTTTGAGGGAAAACAAAAACTGGGAGAAAGATATCGTGATCGTACAGCGTATGTGATCGTACCATAGAGCAATGCAGAGGACAAAGCACTTAAATTATCGTTCACGGTTCTCGATCAAAGTGGAAAAGTGCACTGAACTTGAAGATTCGAAGCTGGAATCGAAGTTGCAACCCATAAATAATGCGCGCGTAGACGTGGGAGAATGAGAAAAAGGGGTGAGAGTGGCTTGTC